AGGGTTATGTAAAAATAAGAATCGACATTGAAACATTTTAGTGGATCAAATTTTCATTTAATGTAAACCCCAATTGGGATATGAAACTCCCGAAATACCGAATATCAGGAGGTTCCGCTTATGTGTGGCTATACAAATGAACAAATAGACCGAAATTTTCGGCTGGGAGGGTTTATATGCCAAGCACCAATTTTTATAACCTACACCATATAGTGGTAAGGGTATTATATCTTTGTGCATTTCTTTGCAACATGGAGAAGGAAGCGAGATGGACCCACATTTACTTTTGAGGATCTTCATAGAATCACTTTCTGAGACAATTTATGCCTGTCAGTCCGTTGTCCATGTATTTTTGCTATTTAGCTATTTCAGATATAGCTATACTTCTCTTATATATGTTTCATCCGATTTGGGGTTTTAAGTCCCTTACATGCGTATCGTGCAACAAATGGCTAATATCAGCCCAAAATGGACTGAATTTTTGCAATTCCGAATGAATTCAAGATCAGAGGGGCTATCCTCCAACATAGACTGTTAAAAACCACTTCTAATAAAAATTCTACACATAAAGCTATTTTTTTGCTCATTTTCAAAAAGCTACATGAAAATCTACAGAAATATGGGCTTAGCTGAATCAACTCAGAATTTTATGTTGATATGGGGGTCCAGTGGCATATGGGGTGCATCATTATATATATATTGAAGTGTTGGAAACGGAATGATATAATTTTTCGAACTGCCCAATCTTGTGGTAAAGGTCATAAAAATCAACTTAGTTTTTAAAACAAAAATTAGTAGCTCAATTCAAGAGTGTACAAAAATCACCTGATTTCAATTTAAAAATCTGACAGACTTTGAACCAAAACCTTATAGGAGGGTTGACCAGTTCTCCAACCGAAAAGTCCGAAACTGAAAAATGTTAATATGGTATTTAATTAAAATTTCTATCCCTTTCGATAACTAACCGAAATCTCATCGATTTCTTTTTAAATTCGCAATTCTAAAATTTTCAAGTATGCAGTGATAATATTTCCAATCTTTTTTTTTTTTTTTTTTTGTAAGCTAGTGTCTGCTTGAATTTATTAACTTAATTTCCAATGAAAAAAAAAAAAACAGTTAATAAATCTTTAAGTCGGTTGAATAATTGCAAATTAACAACAATGATTGAAATTTACCCTTGTTTGGTGAACAGCGAAAGCGAAAAGCCGCAACAAGGAAAAATTAACTGAATGTGAACGGGTGACTGAGTGAGTGACTGACTGAATCTATAGAATATGACATTGAATAATAAAAAATATTTTTAGCATTTTTTGTGTGTGAGCGTTGATTCGTTTTTTTTTGTTTTCCTTTTTCTTTGTGAATTGTTTTACATTCGGTTTTAACTTGAACGATACAAATTAAATATATATGTATATTCAACAAAGAGCGAGCCAAAAAACAAAAAAAAAAAAAAAAAAATCTGTCTACGAAAAAATTAAAAAAAAAACACGAGTTTGAAAACGTATAGTATTTTTCCGTCTGCATTTCTTTTTTTTAGAAATTGTGTGACATTATTTGGAATTTGTCTTTTTGACTGAATGGAAATTGGGTTAAAAAATGCTTTTTTAAGAGAAAAATTAAAATTAACAGGCTTTAGATTTATTCAATGGAGTTTCAGACCACTCTTTAATATAGGCTATACAGGGTGAGATGAAAAAACTGCAACCAACTCGTCCGACAGCTGTTCAAATTATTCCAGTGACAGCTCCTGTGTTGTAATATTTTTATTACATAAAATTTACAAAACGACACCTGTTACTGCTTGCAAATAATAAAATTATAATATATTTGAAATAATGTATTTTAATATCAACTTAATATTCTATTATTACGTTTATCGCCCAGACATATGTCTTTCTTTCATATAAAAATTATATTCAATATTGACGTATAAAAAAAGAAATGTTTTTGTTTTTTCAAATTCCTATTCAAACAAGAAAAAAGAAACATTTTTAAACAATGTTTATTTTGCCCACAACTTTTCAAAAAGAAACACTTGTCAAACGTATGTACTATTTTGTTTGAATACAAAAGGGTTATGAAATAAATATCAAGTGTTTATTTTTCATTGAAAATCAAACAAAGGTTTGCCTCAAATAAATTCCTTCGACAATTGCATTGTTTTTTTTTTGGCAAAATATTTACGCCATATTTTATTATTATTTTGACAATAAACTCCACCTCTAACGCAATTCGCATCTAATAATAAAATTCACATGGGAAAATTTTCCCATATTTTGACAAGTGTTTGATTTGGTTCAAACCCACAAAGTCTAGAAAATAATGTGAGTATCTCACATTAGTGTCATCATCATCACCAACCATCCCTTTTGGATTTTTATTTTTTTTCTAGAGAGACAGTTAATGAAATGCAAACAAACGGAACAACTGATAAGCAGAAAAATATTTTGTTTTGTTTTGTTTTTTTTTTATAGTAAAATAAAATACTTTTACGATTGCCAGTCATATAATTTAACAATAAAATAAAAGCTGGCTGGAAACAAATATTATTCGTCAAATTAAAGGTTGGCTAAAAACCAAAACGAACGGGTTGGGTTGGCTATTTGAAATATTCTTAGACAAAGTGGCAATTTCCAGTGCAATCTGTTGGCAAACAGACGACTTGAAAATTATGACGGTGCTTGAAAAGATAAAGGATTGGAATATTTTTTGTGTGGAATATTTCTCAACGATTTCATTTTTGGCCAGAGGTCAGCTGAAAATGTGCACCTTCGGTTGGCCACCAGAACTCAAGTGCCGACCATGATGATGGTGTGGGCCGCCATAACAGCCAATAGTCGCTCTCCGTTCGTATTAATCGACCGTGTCATCAAAATAAATTCCGAATATTATCGCGAATATATTCTGGAGGGCGTATTAAAGCCACGCAATAATAAAATTGATCCATATTGGTCATGAGGATATAAACCCTTCCGGCAGAAGAAGTTCAGTTTACGTATACTCTTTGTTTGTATGAGAAGAACTTTCCATCCCTGCTCTCCGTTTTCTATGAGCATACCTTCCAGTCTCCTATGAGAGAACTTTCCAGACTTCTATAAGAAGATCTTTCCGTCTTCTATTAGGAGAACTTCTCGTTTTCTATGAGAATACCTTCCAGTCTTCTATGAGAATACCTTCCATTCTTCTATGAGAAGACCTTCCATTCTTCTATGAGAAGATCTTCCCGTCTTCTATGAGAAGATCTTCCCGTCTTCTATGAGAAGACTTTCCAGTCCTCTATGAGAAGGCTTTTCAGCCTTCTATGAGAAGACCTTCCAGTCTTCTATGAGAAGATTTTCCAGTCTTTTTTGAGAAGACCTTCCAGTCTTCTGTGAGAAGGCTTTTCAGTCTTTTATGAGAAGACCTTCCCTTCTTCTATGAGAAGATCTTCCCGGCTTCTATGAGAAGACTTTCCAGTCCTCTATGAAAAGGCTTTTCAGTCTTTTATGAGAAGACCTTCCTCTCTTCTATGAGAAGATTTTCCCGCCTTTTATAAGAATATCTTCCAGTCTTCTATGATAGGACTTTTCAGTCCTCTGTGAGAAGAACTTCCAGTAAATATAGGACTTTTTGAAAAAAGGAAAAACCGAAATTAGTTGTGTATTTGGAGTATTCTAAGAAGACATAAACTCTTCATGGCAAAAATCTTCAGCATATGACCATTATTTGGTATACCAACCACACCCCCCCCTGGTAATGGTAACCCCAATTATTTAATATTTCGGATAATGCAACTCTAATTTCCAACGTAATATGCTGTAATGCCGCAATTTGGAAAGAGAATTCGGTCCCCGACCCAATAATTTTTCAATTTCGGTTCACATTGTGACATAAGCTCCGTGTAACGGTAACAGCAAAATTTTGAAGGTAACGATCATATTTTTCAGTCGAAATTTAAATTTATATCCAGCTTTTGGAATGAGAGACATATCATCAATTATTTTTATTTTGAAGGTCCTAGACACATTTTTCATGTGAATGGGCTACATGCTAGCATTTAGGATCGAAAACATAGAACCTTTGAACATTAGGATAGGAAAATACTCTCACAATATCTCCCCCTCGAAATTGAAATTGCAAGCCTGCAGAGAGGGGTATGTACCGGAATATTCAATTTTTTTTTTAAATTTTGAATAAATTTTATTTTTGAATTTTAATTGAAAACAATTTTGGTATAAAAATGTTCAAATTGAATAGTAAAATCCTAAATTTTCAAGCATAAGAATTCTCTTAGAATTCTCATAATAAAGTATTAAAATAAGTTTTTACTAAATAGTTTTAGGTCAATTCTTTTTTAAACCCAAGGAATTCCCAAGTAAATACAGACAGACTACCTTCAAATCGTTATAAATTTGCGAAATTCAAAAAGACAGCAGATTAATATTGCTCCGACCAATGCTTACAAAGAATGGGAGTAAATATTTCTTTCCTCAGAAGGATGTCATAAATAAATGCGATTAAGATTGTGGGGTGTGGGTGTGTAAATTTTCCTTACAGAATATGGCAAGTCATGACTATCCCAAGAATATACAAGCTTTATCTTTATTTGCAAATCTTTTTCCAGATACCGAATGAAGGATAGCGATTAAACGAAGACGAAAACTGATAAACAAGTTGCTCAGATAAGTTTTGTAATCTGATCATTTCTTGTAATGGAAAGTTGAAAATTAAGGAGACAAAGGCCTTTTTCAGATCTATGATATTTTTATATAAATTTGACTTTCTTCAATATATATTTTCATATAAATAGTGTAGATATATATATATCAATGAATATATAGAGTTTTAAGTCTTAAGAGAATCCAAAAGAAAACCTCAATTTCAAATTTATTTTTTATATTTTTTAAATTTTTGACCTAAATTAAAATATTTGAAAAACATTTTTGGCATAATATTTTTCTTTCTCATTTGGACTTTCAAATCTAGATTAAAATTTAAGTAAAATTTCGATAAAAACTTACCCCAACTTTTGGGTGTACGACCCAAATAGGTGCCATCTTTTGAGTTGTGCAGAAATTGGCCGATCGACTGCTTCTCCTTGGGCGCATAGAATTGGAATTCTGTGGGGACGTATTTGGTTTCACCGTTCTTTTTGGACATTTTGTACTAATTCGTTTGTTTCGGTTACTTCTGCTGGCGAAAAATGTGGCGTTTAGTTTGATTGGTTGTATTTATTTGTTTTTCTTTCTTTTTTTGGTTTTGGCTTCAAAAAATTTCAAATTTAATTTTTTTGCAGTGAAGGCAAGAAGAAGAAGCGTTTGATGATGAAAAGATCGATGCGCTCTCTGTTTTTTTTTTTAGTTTAGTTTAGTTTTGTGGGTGGTGATTTTTGGGCAACAAGGAGCTGTGGAGCGTGTTTTTGTTTTATGCGTGCGTGGGCTATGTGTGCGTTTGTTTGTTTGTAATGCTGTTGTTGTTGTTGTTTTTGTTTCTTGGCTATAAAAAAACAGCAAGAATTGGACTAGATAAGAAAAAGAAGACACAAAAGAGCACGATCCTATAAAAATAGAATAGTGAGAGAAGAGAAGACAGATTAGAAACTAATGGAAATTGAAAACAACAACAAAAATTAAGAAAAAAATAGCATGAATTACAATAATTATTGTTAAAACAACAAATAGCGAAAAAAAAGTGTTATCTCTTAAAATGAAACAATAATTTGATTAAATTATTACTTTTGAAAGGGCTGTGATCGGCGGGGCCGAACGATGTTATACCCTACACCAAATGTACTTCAAGTCTAAAATAAAATTCGAAAGGGGTAAAAAGGGGGGCAAATCGTGCCAAGGAGTTATGAAGAGATTCGTATTGAAACAGAAATTAATATTTTCGTAATAAAAAGTACGAGATTTTTGGGATTTCTGGGTCCAGGGTTCTAATGGTAACAAGCGATATTCAAGTGAAAACCAATTTTTAAAAATTGGCGAATTTTACGATTTTACGCGATTGGCAAATTGAATGTTTAGTTTTTATTACAAAAATGAGATCTTAAGATCTGTATTATTTCGCGAGTTTTTATCAGAGACTGAATTTGGTTCCAAAACCATTTTTATAATTTTTGCTGTGGAAATTGGATTTAAAATCTTTAACTTCGAGATGAAATCATAAGATCTGTATTATTTCAGGAACTTTTATCAGAGACTGAATTTGGTTTCAATATTATTTTTATAATTTTTGCTGTGCAAATTGGATTTAATATCTTTAACTTCGAGATCCCCTTGTATGTTTTCCTCTGTACATTTTTTCATTCAATTCTGAATATAAGAATACGACAATTTTGGAATCTAAATGATATTTTTATAAAAAATGGTTCAAATTTATGAGACCAAAAGATACAAATATAAAGAAGTGTCAATATCCTAAGAATCCTATAAAAAATCAAAGGTCTCCTATAAAAATCCGGCAAAGTTCGTTTCAGTCTGTTTGAAAATTTTTCAAAATTGTATTTAAAACACTATGAATATAAATAATACTTCCAGAATATCATATCAGGCTCTGTTGAATTCGTGTATCTCCGAGGAAGTGAAATCGGAGTTTGGATATCTTAGCGGCATGAAGAGTTTTTAGTCTTGGTGTAGGGTATAAAGAATGACTGCCCTAATGGAATTTTATTTCATGTAATATATATTTTTTTAAATCCTATTCTGCCTACTCTGAGGTTCTGCCGTCGGAGTTTGAAACATGAAATGTGGAGCTACAAATACCACCCTAAATCTGTTTTGATGAATCTTAATTGGAAATTTTCAGATTCTTAGAAGCGACCCGAATTCTTTTCCTTTTTTGATATTTAAAAATACTTTTCAACACTTGAAAACATTCAATATTTTACGGAATCAAAAATATAACTTTTTTCAATTTGTTGTGGTGTTTTTTCTTCTTTTGTTTCGAGCATTAAATTACGTTCTTGTTTCTTTTTTGCGTGTGATATTTTCTCTCTTTTTTTTTTTTTTGTAATTGCAGTTTGTTTTGTTTTACTTGTTCTTTTATTTCATTATTTTTTTTGCAATATTTTGAGGTTATTTACTTTATTTTATAATTCTTTTTATTTTCCTTTCAATGCAAAAGAGCAAACGAAACAGGCACCATAAAATTGTTTTTCTTGAGAACTGAATTAATTCACCTCAGAATTCGTTCGAAATATTTTAAATTTCTTATTTTTTGTTTTTTTTTTGCCTCAAAATAAAATTGTATTTACTTTTGTTTCAGTTTCACAAAAAAGAGTACAAAAAATGGTCTTAAAAAAAAACAAAGAATATTGGAAAATGAACTGACTTCCGTTAGGCCCAAGTACGCGTTGTTACGTCCACGGCTAAAGATCACTGACTAAACTCTTGTAGAAGCAGGCACTTGGGCTATTATTGGGCGCAAATCGTCCGTGTGTCCCAGAAGTAGCAGCAACACTTAACTCGTCGCCAGAGTCAAACTCTCTCTCACAGAGACAGACGTCTCTTATCCCCAACGTTTACAAAATGTTGGGGGGTGTTTGTCGGTGTGTATGTGTGTGTGTGTGCCTGTGCGTCTCTGCTCACTGTTAAGTAATACTCTTTCGATAATCTCCCCACCGTCCAAGTTAAAGCGTTTGATATGAGATTACAGCAAGTGGAAACACATGTTGGCGCTCGTGGATGTGGGGCTGGCGGCAGTGTTGGTGGTGGTGTTGTCGGTGTTGGTGATAAGAACCAAGAAATGTTTGTTGCCTGCTGCGGTTGGCGCGCCGCGGCTCTACTGGCATTGTCTTGTGCCTTGCATTGACACTAACATTTCCATATTTTGAAATTGATTCTCTTAGTAATGAAGAGAACAAAGCAGGCCGACGACACTGTTGCCATCGACACTTGAAACAATTTGCCGTGACAGAGCGAAAGCCACGAAGAGAGTGAGAGGAAGTAAAGTATCATCACAAAGCTCTTAAAATGTGGTTTTGTAGCCAAAAAATGATTTCTTTCTCAATCCACAAAAATATTGAATCGCAACATCACCAACACTCTGAGTTGGTAACTAACTACACGGGAGGACGTGACAGATTGTTTATAAAATAAATTTTGTGGCGGTTGTGTGATTTTGTTTATAAAAAAGTGCAATATTTCGAATCAAATGCAATACCTATTCTACAAAATTTAAGGTAAGTCATTTATATACATATGTAGTTTATACTATTTAGATACGTTAATCCTAGAAATAATCCAACCAAAGATTTTCTTAGATAACATAATATTTTCAACAATTAGCAAATAAGAAGTTGTGTATATGGTAGGAATATCTTAATAAACGCTGTAAATTTTTCAGTCGTGATTGTTTTGAGGGACTGTTATTAACATATTTGGTAGGTTTATATGAATTAGGGAATATGCAAAACCACACTCTGTCAAGTGTTGCCAGATTTATTTAAATATACCTTTATGAGGGATAAGTACTTCAAATACGCAGGATCATTTTGGAGATCGAAAAGAAAAACCTTTCGTAACATTGGTAGTAAATCTAAAACCTTTTATAAAAAAACAAAACAAAAAATTTCCGAACATAAAACAAAAATAAAAATTTTATTAAAACCACAAGAACATACCGAAGGAAACGTCCTTATAACATTTTATATCATTACTGTTTAACTTTGATCTTATTTGATATTTAAATTATTCTTCTTATTTTTTATCTTAATAAAACGGGATCATAGGGATCTAGTTTTAAAATTAGGATGATGAAGATAGAAAAAAAAATTGGAAAGAGGTTTGAAATTTTGTACGGTATTTCAAAGGTCTTGGCTTCATTTCCAACTAAGACCCTGGTTTGAAATTTTGGATCTTCAACAAAAAAAAAAAAAAAAAAAAAAAAAAAACAAGTAAAAAAGAGGCATTTGGAAGGAACTTAACAATTTCAAAAAATTTTTGGAAACTACCACTTAAATGAAAACTGTTATATGGAGACTATACGAAGACGTGGACCAGCTTACGAAATTGTTGGTCATAGGCTGCAGTACCCATTACGACCTTTAAATACGAAACTTGTTACAATTTTGGTGAATAATGTCATCATCAAAATACCAAATATCGGGATGTACCGTTAATGGGGGGATATACGAAAACGTGAACCTACATACCAATTTGTTTTTCACAGGCTGTAGTACCCTTTACAACCTTTAAATACGAAATTTGTTTCAATTCCGGTGAATAATGTTGCTAAAGTCATAAAAATACCGAGTAATGGGAGCAACCGTTATATGGAGGCTATACGAAGACGTGGACCTACATACAAAAATGTTTGTCATAGGCTGTAATACCCATTACGAACTTCAAATACGAAATTTGAAATAATTACGGTAAATAATGTCGCTGAAATCATGAAAATATCGAATATCGGGTGGTACCGTTGTGTGGGGGCTATACGAAAATGTGGATAAGAGTTCGATATTGGGATATGTGAAATATGAATAGAATCAGATGGTTATTTCACATTTTATGAGAATTTTAGTTATTCACAATTTTGACCCCTGGTGGGGGAGGTACCAGATGGAGTCCACCAATATCTACCATCTTCACACCAGATCCTGTGTTATTTCGAATTCTAGGAGCTTCATGGTTATTCAATATGTAGACCCGTTTTTGGGGAGGTTCCAGAAGAAGTGGACTGTTCCTCATGCCAGATATTCTGCTGGCAAAAGTATTGAGATGTGGAAAATTTGAAGGCAATGAGAGTCGTATTTCATATTTTATAAGAGTTATGGTTATTCAAAATAGAGTGACCCGAGTTACTCCTTTTTCCCACCTCACCTAGCATCGATAAAAAATATTAGGATCTGTAAAGTTTGAGCAAAATAGGTTGATCCTTTATTGTTCTATAAGGTAAATTATTCTCCATAAAATTTTTGAATTTTTGTGCCTCATGTTTACACAGTGAATTCTAAAAATTTTTGTCATTGCAAACACATTTTGAAGCAAAACAATTGATTTTCTTAGGAACAATACTAGAGGAAAACGAATAAAATATCTACATTTTTTTAATATTTTTTCAAATGTAAGTTTAATAAAATTGAGCTCGAGGTCTTTGTTTTTTGACAAAACAGATGACAGCAATTCAAAGTCGACGTCGGTACTTAATGATTTTGTATTTTTTGGTTATGTGTTTAAATATCATTGTTCATGATGATATCTTCCGTCATAGGACGAAATATCGAAAATAAACAATAAAAAACCAACAAAAAGCTCGAGCTCAATTTTATTAAACTTAAATTATTTAAAATAAATGTCGAATTACATAAAATAAAAATCAGAATTTTTTTTTTATTTTTTTTACAAATGTCTGAGTAGTCAAAATATGTTCTATTGAAAAAGAAACTTGAGCTCATTTGTCTTGTCTTTTGCAAACGCATGATTATAAAAAATACTTCGTCTTTTTTTCCTACAAAATTTTTGTAAAGAACAATATTTTACAGGAATTCAAAAAATCCTACCAGTTTTCTATTATAACTGCATTTCTATTTTAAAAAAAACATGTATTTTATTTAATTCAAAAATAACAAAGTGATATTTCTTTGTTTATAATTAAAAATAACAACAATCGATCGATTCTCTTTAATTCAAAATGAGTCACGAAACGAAACTCAATTATTTCTGTTTTCCGTTAGTAATGTCGATTCTCTTCTTTTCTCTTCTCTTCAATGCAATGCTCTTTGAAAGTAATATATGTGGGGTGGTGATGCAGGGGTGCTCAAGAAGAAATATCTGTTTTCAGTCAAATTTCTCTTTGCTTATTTAAATCAAGAACAAAACAGTGTTAATTCATTATTTATACAAATATTTTTTATCCATTTGCTTTATAAACTATTTTGGCAAACATTCGTGTTTAAAAACAATTAAATAGAACAGTAAAATATAAAGAAAAACAGAATTTTAATTTTCTCTTAAATTATCTCTTTTTTCTCTTCATGTTCTAGAACACGGTTTTGAGCACCCCTGTGATGGTAATCTCCATAAAACTTTATAAACTGTTGCTCACAACAGAAATTTTGTTGATATTCTCCCTGGAGCTGTTGGGAGCGGGAGAGAGGGGGGTTGTAAAATACACTTATATGTATGTGATACCTTCAAATGGGGGAGTAAAAAAGCAGAACCATTCGGTGGGGTTACTGCTGTGTCTGTTATACAGCTGGCATTCTTTTGTTATTAACAGAGGCATGCACAGAATACGTGTTATTACTCTTTACGCAAACTATACGCAACACCATGTCTGTTTGTATAAATACAAATATATACATATGTATATATGTAAGTTTGTATTCAAGTGTGTTTCTGTTTGTTGTTATTACTTTTTTGTTTTTATTTTAGTTTTTTTTTGCTTGAAAATTCATTTCATGCTACATTTCAGAAGAGTAGGTATTCATTTCAGACTCCACTACAAACAAGAAAAAAAATATGTATGCCAAATTAACAATAACAACATCGAACTGTAAAAATACACCCCACCAAAATATCAACTAGAGGCCAATTCGTGAATAGCACGATTAATTAATGCTGGAAACCAAAAATACAACAAAAAAATCTAAATAAAATTTTGTAATTAACAATTGGCTTTCGTTTATGCTTAGATGAATTAATATTCTTTGCGTTACAGAAGAAGCGAACGGCAAAGACACACACTCGTTTACACAAAAATCAAACCACACAACGCCAAGACGTGAGAAAACAGGTTCTCCAATACAGCAACAACAAAAAAATCCCCCTTTTCTGCAGCCACTTTTGTCGCCTTCGGTACTGCAAGCCTCCAGATGAACGCAAATAATTACACGTGGCAATATCTCGATTCATACATACCGACACACATAGCTACACGGTAAATTGCAAATGCATAACTAGTGGTATGCGAGAGTCTGGTGAAATGAAAATGGCATATTTCCACTAAGTGGAAATCAGATATATTGACAGATATTCGACCAACACTAGGGTTGAAATTAAAATGGGATATTTCCACTGAGTGCAAATCAGATATATTGACAGATATTAGACCAACACTATAGCTGAATTTTAGACGAGAAAATTTTCGAGGAACAGGTATTGTTTTAACGAAGAAATATTAGATTATTTCACCAACAAAAAAGCATTATTATCCCTACTTTTATATGCAATTTTGTGGCGTGTTGTACCATACCTCCATACAGATGATAATGCACTATTTCTATTATTCCCAGGCCTTATACAATTCTAAATTTTTGGTTCCAAATTGTGATACGATATTTATTACGATTAATATTTTTGGTACTGCAAATATGAATTGGTACCCCAATACTTTCGTTTTGTTCCCAAAATAATCAGATTATTTCCATAGCGCTATATATTTGATTTTCGAAGTTAAGACGAAGTATTGAGTGGGAAAATTTCTTTAAATTTTCTCTCCAGATATTTATCAAACAAACATTTTCACACGTCACATTCATATATGAATTTTTCATGATTTAAGGAGGGGTAACAAAGAGGATGGATCCATAATTCGATAGTTCGACCGTCTACAAGGGAATGCGTTTTAGGCATCAAAGGCTATAAGACGGAAAAATTTTTAGACAGGCTTAAGGGTGACATTATCTTTAATTTTTTTTCTCTCTCTCGTTGGTATGCAAGTATGTGTTGGGCGCCACAATACAGTCGTTTGGACTACTTCTCAAGCATTACTAAAATAGGGTATTCATAATTTATCAAATAGTGTATATTTTCGTCCCTAAGAATCCTTATAGACGATTAAATCTGCAAGAGATTTTTTAACTATAGAAAATAAACTATGAAAAAGTTACTTTGTAAATATCAGAAGGTGTTTTTTATGAAAGGTATACATCCTGTCTTCATATGGACACATGAAGACCTAAGACCTATGGAGACCTGAAGGAAGCCATATATTTACCACAAGATAGGCCTATATTTACCAGAATATAGCCCTATATTTTTGATATACATAAATAGGACGACGTTTTTAGACGAACTGAAGGGGGAAATAATATCATACCAGTGGAATTCTATGAACTAGCAGAATAAAATCTTTATAAGAGATCAGAGTCCTTACATAATGCCAGAGGATGGGAACCTCTATTTGATGAGTATAAGGAAACCCCAAGAGTAAATTCCAAAACCTTAATATACGGAC